GATTGCCAAGGAACAGAACTTGGGGCTGTATGCTATGAGTTCTTAGACTGTCTTCATTAGCTTTATTTTTAACTGGTAAGTTAACTGTTGTTAAATTTCACTGAATTCTGTAGCCTGTACCCCTGAACACCTCTGACCCCTGGAATTTTCCCTAGCAGAGCGTGTGCGTGTGTGTGCACGTGTGTGCGTCCGCTGGGGGAGTGGTGGCTCAGCTCCCACCACCTGTTAACCGTACTATGGGGCTAGCCTCCTTTAGAGGTTCTGCCTCCCACTTGTCTCTTAAAACATAAACGTGAATTCCGTGTGTACTACTGATGTGAAGGGGAATCTATCACAAGGAAAGGAAAAGGTTTCGAGGTTAGTTAGCAGAAATAAAATGGGCTACATTGGTAAACTGAGAAAAGAATGCACGTGTCAACAAGACCTTGTAAAAGACAAAAGAGGGAGAGCCAGCTGGCAGAAGTGCAGACAGTTTGTGTACTCTTGCTCTAGGAGTAAGGAGAGTCAAGAGTACAGTGGGTTAAGGTTTCCAAAAAGGGTGATATGAATCCAGTGGTTGTCCTGGCAACAGGTCCACCCCCCTCCCCCAAGTAATAAAGAGAAAAAATGTGCACATGCAAGACAGAGGTAGTTCGGGGGGAGGCAACATGACCTCTGGTTAGCCCCTCCTTGAAGGGGGCCTAAGGAGGAGGTGGGGAGTTTGGGAGGGGATGTGGGCCACTGATAAAGGAGGAGTCCAGAGGGGAAGATTCTAGAGGCTTCCGCCGGCTTATTCTCTGGGTACAGCCCATCCTGCAGCTCCAATTCCACCTGCTGGCATTGTTGCCTGGAGGGGACTTTGGGCTAGAGAATGCGTTCTGTCATTTTCTGGTGGCCTCTGCAAGTATAGGCTCTCCCTGCCCTTTGCCACGGCCCACGAAGACTGAGACTGTCCAGATGGCACAGTGAACGGACAGGGAGTCAGCAGTGATCACCATTGTTGCCTTGTTAAAGTCTCCCAGGCAGTCCCACCCCTGCCCTAAGTGATTTGGTTCCCTCCCACAGGCTGTCTCCAGCTCAGACCACCCACCTCACAAGCATGGCGGTCTCCAGTGCCTGACCAGGTCCCACCTCCACGCTCCAGCCTCACTCCTCCCCCCTGCCCGCTCAGATCCTCAGGGAGGATCTCCACCTTCACCAGGAATGCAGCCCTGAACCAGCTGTTTGCAAAGTGTGGTCTGGGGACCCGTAAGGGTCCCTGAGAGCACTTCAAAGGGTCCATGAGGTCAGAACTATATCCATAATAGCACTAATGTTTGCCTTTTATATTCTTATTCTCTCACGATTATATAGAGTGCAAAAAGTTTACTGATGTGGTTTTAGGTTCTGCAACTAACGTTTAAGAAACCATCATTTGTCAAGTTTTGGTGTCATATCAAAGAAGAATATCCACGATTATCTGAAAAGGCTATTAGAATGCTTTTCCTAACATGGACGAAACTAGAAGGTATTGTGCTGAGTGAAATAAGTCAGTCGGAGAAAGACAGGTATCATGTTTTCACTCATGTGTGGATCTTGAGAAACTTAACAGAAGACCAGGGGGAAAGGGAAAGGGGAAAAATAGGGAGGCAAACCATAAGAAACTCTTGAATACAGAGAACAATCTGAGGGTTGATGGGGGAATGGAGGAGAGGGGAAAATGGGTGATGGGCACTGAGAAGGGATGGTTGAGATGAGCACTGAGTGTTGCATGTAGGCGATGAACCATGGGAATCTACCCCAGAAACCAAGAGCACACTTTACACACTGTATGTTAGCCAATTTGACAATAAATTATATTAAAAAAAAAAAAAAAAGAATGCTTTTCCTTTGTCAGACTACAAATCTGTGTGAGGCCATGTTTTCTTCATGTAGTCCAACCAAAACAACATTTCATGACAGACTAGATGAGGTGAGAATCCAGCTGCCTTTGATTAAGCCAGACGTTAGGGGTGCTTGGGTGGCTCAGTCAGTTAAGCATCCAACTTCGGCTCAGGTCATGATCTCACTGCTCGTGGGTTCAAGCCCCACATTGGGCTCTGTGCTGACAGCTCCGAGCCTGGAGCCTGCTTCAGATTCTGTGTCTCCCTCTCTCTCTGCCCCTCCCCTACGCATGCTTTTTCTCTCTCTCTCAAAAATAAATAAATATTAAAATTTTTTTTAAAAGTCAGACACTAAATTGGTTTATAAAAATGTAGAACAGTGCTGTTCTTCTCACTATTTTTTTTAATTTAGAAAATGTCATTTTTTTATACTAGTATTTTATGTTATGGGTTATGTTGGGGGTTTATTTTTTTTTTAATTAATGAATTAACTAAGTAAAATATTTTTTAAGTGTTTATTTTTAAGTGTTTACTACATGTCTGTCTGCCCCACTACTTCCTAATGGCAGTTGTTCTTTCTAAAGCCCCCACATCTGCCAAGTAGCAGAAACCCCAGATGGATGAATGAAGTACGGGGAGGAGCCTACATGGTCACACATCACCACTGATTACCACCTGAGCAGCCTGGAAACATGCATAGGAGGGGCAGATAAATACTGCATTATTTTTTTTTTAATTGGCTCAAGCTGTTACTGGAACCCTGACTTGAATTTAGACATAAAATATAAACTTCTCTTTAAAAAAATCAGAAAGCCCAAATGAAGAATTACCCTAAGAAACAATTCTGTTTCTCTGTTAAACTTGCACAGACCACCCTTGCAAGTAAGCAGCTAGTGAAATACAGCATGTAGTGCATACCATAACTACAGCCAAAATGATTTGCCACAGAAGTGAAATGTGCCTGGGCAATGTTTAGAACATAAAGAACAAAAAGTCGAGAAAAGCAAACGCCCATAAAATGTCAGACACCATATGGGGCGCCTGGGTGGCTCAGTCGGATAAGCGACTGACTTGGGCTCAGGTCTTGATCTCACAGTTTGTGGGTTTGAGCCCCGCATCGGGTTCTGTGCTGACAGCTCAGGGCCTGGAGCCTGTTTCGGATTCTGTGTCTCCCTCTCTGCCCCTCCCTTGCTCGTGCTCTCTCTCTCTCTCCCAAAAATAAATAAATAAAATTTAAAAAAAATTTTTTTAAATGTCAGACATCATATTTTAAGAATGAAGAGAAGGTCACATGACCAGGGCAAGGACTACAATGAATGTGGCTTCTGTATCTTCGTTCCCTGTCAAAGGAGACCAAAAGCAGGTGACACACGAGGACCCAGGCCAAAGTTGTGGTGTTTGCCCTTCCGGCTTCATAACTCTCACTGAACCACGTTCACGAGTCAAGCAGCCCTCTGGAGCGTCCGGGAGTAGCCACTGGCCACTCTCTGGGGTGGGGACATGTGCCATGCTCCATCCTCCCCCGTGTCCCTAGCGCATTCTCCGGCAAAATGAGAAACAGGAGGCAAAACTGGATGTGGGGTTGATGCCTTTGGCAAAACAGGACGCCGTCTCTTGTGTCAGAAGACAAGGGGTTTCTACGTCAGAGCCTGAACTTGGGGTGAAGGAGAGGACAGTGAGTGCTGACAACTAGGGAAGACCCAGTGTGTGTGTGGCTGGGGAGGGGGAGGAGGTATTTAGGGCTGAGAGGAAGATGCTTTTCCAGCTAAGTGTGTGGTGGCTCATACTGAAAGCCCCGTCAGAAACCTAACTGCTGGTGATCTAGGGGTCAGGCATTTTCCACTCTCTCTCTCTCTCTCTCTCTTCCTCCGTGTGTGTGTGTGTGTGTGTGTGTGTGTGTGTGTGTGTGTGTGTATAGCTATAGATATATGGATATATGGATATCTAGATATAGATACCTAGATAGATAGACAGATGGACAGGCATATTTGTCATCTTGAAATTGTTTTTAAAAAGCCCTTCAGTGTAGTAAACATCCTCCAGTCCTTGCCATTTTTGCAAAAGTCTTACGTTTCAGTCACTATGGAGATGGAGATTCTCAGAAGACTAAAGACATGGAAGGCCCAGAATCAAGGGGCCATCATTCAGTTAACATGAGTGAGGATTCCAACCTCTCAAAACAAAGTTTTTTGGTGTTCCCCCTGGTGTCTGATTATAATTTTGAATGCTGAGGCTACCAGGCAATAGGGTAGTTCTCTCAATGGACTTCGTAGGGAGTCCGATTCTGTCAGCTGGCCCACAAGCTATAAAACACAGTTTCAGAGAACGACTTCATAAAATGACAGTTGTGGTTAAACTACCATTCATGGCATACCTACAATTTACATGTATTACCTTATTTTCTCCTCACAAAAATATTCCGAGGTCAGCATTAATATTCCCATTCTATGGATGAAGAAACTGAACCTCAGAGAGACAACACTGGCTAAATATACACATCTGGTAAGTACCAGAGCCAGAACTTGAACCCAGGTCTATGCCAAAACCCATTCCCTTTCCACCGGCCAACCTTCCTATTGCTTCCACACCCTGGGCTTTCCAGAGCCCGTGTTTACAACCAGGTCCATTTATCCATATCTATGTGTTTTCATGACCTTTTCCTTCTCTTGGAGAAAGAGGAAGATTCACCTGAAGAAAACATGTTTGCAACAGAAGCCCGACATTTTCTATTCTTAATATCTTGATCTGGCTCACAGTGCCCTCACCTCTCTTCTGTGGCTGCTCCCACCTCCCACAAGCTGGCCTGCTCTTTTCCCCATGCTGCCATGCAGATAAGCTGAACAGATCCAATAAAAAACTCCTATCACACCCCTGTCCAGATAAGTACACCAGGACCTTTTCAGATCTTTTCCTTGTGTATTGGAGAAAAGTCGTGAACCTGAGATTAAACGGAAGGCCTTGAAATAGAAGGGCGCGATTTCATTTGGAAAACCCCATGCACCCGTTGCCTATGAGATCTGCTCCCCACCCCTCCCCACACACCCAACAGGAGTCCCAGGGAGGAGCTTCCCGACTGACGTGTGTCCACCTCCTAGCCTGGACGTCTGCCCTCAACCACCTCTTCCCTCCTGCTTCAGCGACAGAGGCATTGACACTCACCCAGGAGGGCCGTTTGGGGGTGAGTCCGAGTGTGTCTCCCTCTGGACACGGACCTCGAGGGAGGCCGCTCCCTGGCCTCGACAGGGAGGAGAAGGAGGATCTGTCCGAGGACCAGCAGAAAGCAGCCCACCAGCATCTTCTCCATCTTCAAGAAGAGGAAGAGGGGCAAGGCTGTGACAAACACAAGAAGAGGAGAGAGCAGGGTGAGATTTCCAGATATCCTTGAATTCTAGGTGCTATAGACCCGCTGTTTCACCTTTTCAGTGTCAGACATGCCACTTGTCTTTAAAATGCCATTCGAAAAATAAACGTTGAAAAAAAAAAAAATTTTAAATGCCATTCGTGGGGCGCCTGGGTGGCTCAGTCGGTTGAGCTTCCGACTTCAGCTCAGGTCATGATCTCACGGTCTGTGAGTTCGAGCCCCGCATCATGCTCTGTGCTGACAGCTCAGAGCCTGGAGCCTGTTTCAGAGTCTGTGTCTCCCTCTCTCTCTGACCCTACCCCTCATGCTCTTCTCTGTCTCAAAAATAAATAAGCATTAAAAATTTAAAAAATAAAAAAATAAAAGAAATAAAATGCCATTTGTGGGGGCGCCTGGGTGGCTCAGTCAGTTAAGCATCCGACTCTTGATTTCAGCTTAGGTCATGATCTCATGGTTTGTAAGACTGAGCCCCGAGTCGGGCTCTGCACTGACAGTGTGGAGTCTGCTTGGGATTCTCTCTCTCTCCCTCTCTCTCTGTCCCTCCCCCGCTCTTGCTCTTTCAAAATAAATAAATAAACTTTTAACAATGCCATTTATGTGTTTGATCCTTAAGAACTCTAGCAACTTCCATTAGTAGGTCCTTGGATACTCTGACAGCATGCATACTAAAATTTTTCATCACTTTTGTATCTGTAAGACCGAATGGAAAACTTGAGGGGAAAAATATATATATATACTGAAGTTTCTCCTCAATTAAGTTTATTATCAATTATTTATAATCACATTCTATATCTTGGATTTGAAAAAGGAAAAACTAGGGGTGCCTGAGTGGCTTAGTCTGTTAGGCACCTCTTGGTTTTGGTTCAGGTCACGATCTCATGGTTCATGGGATTGAGCCCCACGTCAGACACTGGGCAGCTCAGAGCCTGCTTGGGATTCTCTCTCTCCTTCTCTCTCTGTCCCTCCCTCACTCACACGGGCACACACACTTTCTCTCTTTCTCTCTCTCTCAAATAAACTAAAAAAATTTTAAGAAAAAGGAAAAATTGTATCTGAACATTACAAGTAACATTATTCCTTCAGTCTAATAACAGTGGATGGCACAAATTAATATATATAAATTTCCCAAGGAAATCATATATGGCTGGCCTCACGTAGCATTGCAGAGTGAGCTTCCTAGCCTCCCTGCCTCCCACACACATCTATTAAGAGGCAGCATGGTGTAGTGCTTAAAGGCTTGGACTCTGGCATAGAACTTCCTGGCTTTATGCCTTGACTCTGACGCTCACTAACTGTGTATGACCTTGGGCAAGCTACTTAACCTCCCAAGCTTTATGCGAAGATGCGGTAATACTAGTTAATTGAGTGAGTTGATACACATAACTAAAGCATTGAGAATAGTGCCTGGCACCCATGGAGAGGTGGGGACAAGCAAAGGAGGAAAGGGGCTGGGGGACCAGAGAAGAATAGGATCAAACCCAATTTGAGCATGAAGCTTTCAGATGCATAAGGAATTTTAACCCTGAGTTGAGTTTCAGGTATCCACAGGAGCAAAGGGTCCTTCAAACCAGAGGGGCACTGTCTCTACCAAAATAGCACTGCCTTTACCCATTTTCTGTATTGGTGCCGGAGGCCAGCTGGTATAAAGGCTTAGAAGGATTCTAAGCAGGACAGTGAGAGGGTCACAACCAGGTTTTCACAGGATGGCCAATCTCAGTGCTTCACACGAGATGAGAAAGGTACTTGGCCACATGGTGAATGATGTCAAGACTGTTCAGCCTGGAAAAACCTCATGGAGAAGGCAGTGTCCTGGAACTAAGTTTAAATTTATCCTCCCATTTTCTATGTGTAGAGTAAGTATCATAGCAATTTATTAATTTATATAAATTAGGTGGGGAGGAGAGAATATTTAAGGAGGAACAATAATTCAGTAACATCATCTGCATGTAAAATCTTTACTAAGTCCTCATCTTGTGCTTGGCGATTTCACCCAACTGACTTCATTTAATTCTCACACCTATCTTGCAGAAATCAGGATTATTACTTCTGCTTTTTGGAGATGAGGAAACTGAGGCTCAGAGAAGCTCAGCGATTTGATCAAGGTCATGCAGCTAAAGTAAGTGGCAAGCAGAGATTCAAACCCAGGGTAAGAAGGCCAATTACCAATTCTCTGATTAACAGAAAACTCAATTAGCTGCAAGTCAAGTCCCCAGAAGTCAATTCATGAAAGGGCATAGCTATCTTCTCGTCAGAGGCAGGAAGAGGGCAGGGCCAGGGCAAGGACCATGTCCCAAAACTTAAAAAAAAAAAAAAAAATACTCAGTAATTTAGTGAATTGCTTTCAGGAACTGACCTGGAGATAAACCCAAGCCTGTGAACCTTCAAAGTCCACAGTTTTTCACACTTGCTGTATAGAGCTAGCTCACTTTTCACTAAGCATTAAATTTATTTTAAAAATAGCAAATGTTTATTCAGTGCTTACTATTTGCCAGGCACTGGGCCAAATGCTTTAAATGTATTAAGTCATTAATTCGTACAGTAACTCAGAGAAGTTAAGTAATTTGCCCAAGGTTATACAGCTGATAAAGCAGTGAAGCTTCAGAGAATACTGGCTCATTACTGATAACTACTACCCCCAACTTTTTAAATAAATTAAACTCTTTACTAGATTGGTCCCTTTTCATAACTTAAAAAAAATTTTTTTTTTCAATGTTTATTTATTTTTGAGAGACAGAGAGAGACAGCATGAGTAGGGAAGGGGCAGAGAGAGAGGGAGACACAGAATTCAAAGCAGGCTCCAGGCTCCAGGCTCCAGGCTCTGAGCTGTCTGCACAGAGCCCGATGCGGGGCTCAGACCCACAAATTGTGAGATCATGACCTGAGCCAAAGTCGGACACTCAACCGACTGAGCCACCCAGGTGCCCCTCCCTTTTCATAACTTTAACTGTAGGATTCCTTCTGAGGAAAGAAAGAAAACCTAGATTTTGCCTCTTTCTCTGGTCTTAAACCTACTATTTACTTTCAAGGTTCCTGGATACTTATCATATTTTATATGACATTATTAGTGTGTTATGTTATTTATATGTGATTTATTATTTTAATGTTCTCTCCTTCCTCCAAACTGACCAAATACAAAGTCCACCTTCATTTATTTCAAAATATATACAAGTTCTCAAAGCCCACTTCCAACCTGACATATTTGCACTCAAATCCAAACATTTGCAAACATCCAAGAAGTGGTGAATAATTACCATTTTCAAGAAAACAATACCATTTCACATGGTCGGGTTTACTGCTGATTTCAAGAAGTGTTTGTGTTTTCAGGTCCCCATTATTAACCAAAAGGCACTAAGAGTAGGTGAAGGGTAGGGAGTTAAAAATCAGTAGAACTTGGGGTGCCCGGCTGGCTCAGTCAGTAGAGCATATGACTCTTGATCTCAGAGTCATGAGTTCAAGCCCCAAGTTGGGCATGGAGCCTACATTAAAAAAAAAAAAATTAAAAAGGAAATAAAATAAACAGCACAAGGGGCACCTGGGTGGCTCAGTCGGATAAGCGTCTGACTTCGGCTCAGGTCATGATCTCACGGTCTGTGGGCTCAAGCCCCGTGTCAGGCTCTGTGCTGACAGCTCAGAGCCTGGAACCTGCTTTGGATTCTGTGTCGCCCTCTCTCTCTATCCCTCCCCTGCTCACGCTCTCTCTCTCAAAAACAAATAAACATTAAAAAAATAATAACAAAATAAAATAAACAGCACTAAGTACTTCTAGCTAACACTGAGCAGACAACACTGTGCCTCAGTTTCCTCATCTTTAAACTGGAGATAACAAATAGAGCTGGTTGCTACATTGATCAAATCAGTCCATATATATAAAGCACACAGAACACTGAGTGGCACACAGTAAGTGCTCAGTAAGGTTAGCTACTTGTTATCATTATGCAATCAAAACAATTAATATAAAGTACAAGTTATTCATGTTGTCATATTAAGCCATTTAATGAACATGAAATTAACCTCTGTGCTTTTTTATGACTATTATAATAAAATGACAAAAAATATATATAACTTAAAAATACATGCTAGTATCTGAAAGAATTTAAACCTTTCCGTTCTTACAATGCAATGGCATGGCAAGTCACAGGCTGGTAGAAAAGATTTGTACAACATATCTGATCTATTACTGATAGCCAGACTATATAAGCTCTTATAACTCAATAAGAAATTCTAATAATTCAGTAAGAAGAAGACAAACAACCCACCTGCAAATATGTGAAATATTTGAGTGGTCACATCAGCAAAGATGACTTTCTAATGAAAAATAACTGTATGAAAAGATGTTCAACATTCTTAGTCATTAGAAAAATGCAAATTAAAACCAGACTGACGACCACTCACAACTACGTGGATGGAACTAGAGGCATTGTGCTAAGCGAAATTAGTCAGAGAAAGACAAATATCATCTGACTTCACTCATATGAGGACTTTAAGATACAAAACAGATGAACATAAGGGAAGGGAAGCAAAAATAATATAAAAACAGGGAGGGAGACAAAACATAAGACTCTTAAATATGGAGAACAAATAGGGTTACTGGAGGGGGGAGGGGGGGAGCGGCAATGGGCTAAATGGGGAAGGGGCACTAAGGAATCTACTCCTGAAATCATTGTTGCACTATATGCTAACTAACTTGGATATAAGTTTAAAAAATAAATAAAACATGAATAATAAATAATAAATAAAACAGAAGGAAAAAAAACAGACTGACGGAGCACCTGGGTGGCTCAGTCAGTTAAGGGTCCAACTTTGGCTCAGGTCATAATCTCACGGTTGTGTGTGTGCAGACAGCTCAGAGCCTGGAGCCTGTTTGGGATTCTGTGTCTCCCTCTCTCTGCCTCTCCCCCACATGTGCTCTGTCTCTCTCTATCTCAAAAATAAATAAACATTAA